CTAATATATGCTAACACACGTTCTGTTTAATCTTACAGTTTTCATAATAACATATCCCGCATTTATATAAATCGACACTTTAAATTTCGCATGACACATTTTTAATGTCTTGTTGAGGTATAATTCCGTCTCTATTTTAGTTTAATGGATTTATTAGATTACCAATTAGTCTCGACGATTTTAGGGATACAGAATTGCAGCACTTTACCACGAATCTATGGGACGCGTTATCGCTCTGTGCGTCATCGTATGCTTGCATGTCTGCTCACCAGGATTGGGAGGTGCGCCGTACAGCAGCCGCCGTACAAACAGGGACCAATCATCAACCTCTGTTTAACCTAATCCCCCATCCTGATCATGAGTAGCTCCCTGCGTGTACACACTTGATCTGCAATATACTCACTGAATAAACGTGCTTCGTACTGCACGTCTGTTTCCTTTATAGCTGGGCTATAGCTTAGCTGGTTCTGGGAGTCTAGCTAGATGTAGGAGGATCTGCCATAGAGATTTCTGAGTCAGTTAGGCTTTAATAAAGTAGCAATCCGCTACAATATAGAATTGCAGCATTTTACCTCGAATTAATCCAAATTACATCAAGGAACGACTGCGTAATTTAATGAGTTTATAAAATATCCTTTTTGTATTAAAAAATTAAAAGAAATTACAAAGTTACTTTTACTCACATTAAGGTTGTTTAGGCTTCCACATATAAACATATTATCTCAACTGTCAAAGTGAATAGTTACTTTGAAAGAAGGTTTCATATGAATAATTAATCAAATGCAAATCATATTTCACAATCAACTAATCGGTTGAAATGTCACCAAGTTATACGTAATCATTAGAATATATATGGTAATTGAATTAAATGAATTAGCGAAAGAACTTTAGAAAATGTTTAGAAATAAAGAGACTAATTAGCAAATCCATTGAATCCATACTCACCGATGCAGTAAAAGAGTGCCAAAAACGAAGAGCAAGGTAATGCAAATGAACACAGCCAATCCAAGAAGAACGTGAAAAATTCTAACCACAGGAGCTGCTTCCTCAACCTCAACCTCCGTGGCATTTTGAAGTAATCGATTTTGTTTTAATTGATCTTTTGGCCTTGAAGAATCTTAAATAGAGGAAACAGTTGTTCTGTAGGCACTACCTGCAATTAACAACCTTATAAAGCAACATAGTGCACGAATATTACATTATTAGAAAACATTAAGTGCACTTCACGTTCCTCTTTACAATAAAAGAGAATTAATTAAAAATAAAGATTGTAACTTCTATGGATCAGTCACAAATTTACCCGAAATATAGAACTTCACTGAGTTGACGCGATAATTATAGACTCTCAACTCGTCTCAGTGACATATGCAAGTCCTCTTCCATTGAGCACTCATTCAGATCTGAGTGTCGTTTTAGCGTGCAATGCGAGTTTTTGCACCGATGGGCAAGTGAGGTAGAAACTGACTAATTTAATGAGCTTTGAGAGTTATTAAACACCAATTCGGATTAGGGTATAATAGGAGTTTCCAATTTAACAATAACATAATTATGTTAAAATGAAATAAATATCTTTCCTATTTGCTCACATAGCAAACGCAATTTTAGATAATGATATAATTCAGTTCCAAAACATGCTAAACAATAGTTAGGTTAAGTTAATAATAAATTATTGGTATTTAAATCTCCTAAGTAATAAGAAATGCATTATGTCAATTTTCACATATCTAAAATGGGTGAATAACTTGTTAGATACAATGATGTCATTATTCTAAATAAAAATAAAAATACTTCTATTTTAAATGTGAAATACTTATTCCCAGATATAAATAGATTTAGTAAAATAACAATTGTGTCCTGCAGATTGAGATTTTGTGAGTTCAAATTATTTCAGCGCCTATGCCTGAAGATTGAGGTTGATATAGCAAATCAACTCTGTCGTGTGGCACAGTTTTCTCTAGGAGTTAATTGGAGATAAGTTGACGCCAAAATAAGTCCTTATTTTAGTACAGGATATTATACACTTAATGCACAACATATTAAAATATTGGATCATGTACTATATTGAACGAAGCCTACTTTGTAATTAAAATTCAATAATGAAATTTAAAGATATCCCTGTGTTATTAAAATTTGAAATTAATTGATTTACCAACCCAAGCGTCGAGTAATTGATTGGTGACTTTTAGTTAATTCGAATTATTTAGGAACTGAGTTAATTTATACAATTTGCGTAATATCACCATTCCTCACTCATTGTTTCCATCCAATAGAGAAAGCAAAATGTTTTTTTCTTTTAACGAGCCCAGAATACTGTCCTTAAATTTCCCCCCAAATGTTCCCACCCCAACCCCCTCCCAAGAACTCACATTGTCCCTGTTTAACAGTTAAGTGTGTGGTCCGAAGGTCACAGGACTGTGGAATTGTCTCCTTGCTCAGACAAGAACGAAAGGTGAATGTGTAGGTCTGATTCGCCTTCAGTCCCAAAATCGTCACTCTAGAAGAAGACGAAAAAAGGACAAATTATTGTTACTTATTTTTCGCTCCTTTTAAAAAAGCCAACAAAAAACATTAGAGTGAGTAATTATTCAAAAAAAACGTCAGTAAAACAGAGAACTCAAATTGATTTCGTATTCCTGCTTCAAAGGCCTCGAAGCAACTATCTTGGTTGAAATTCTTACTAAATTTCGGCTTCTTTTCTACAAAAAAAATATTTAAATACCTGTCCATGTAACGACTTGTCCTTTATGGGACAATTTAAATGGTAGAAATGTATTCTCTAAGTTATTTTTACCTTATTTTAATCCAGGGAACCTACTCATCTCACTGACTTCTAACGTCTCAATTTAACGGAAGTTTTATCAATATGTTGAAGGTTCAGTGACTACTGATTTAACACAAGCGATTTTAATTTGAGTTTGCAATAATTATTATTGTTGAAATATTTGTTTCTTTTCACTAAACCTAACCATCCACTTGCCTGGATTTGGTGTTTGATAAAAAAGATTTTAGATAAGTTTTAATGCAGTCAAATTAAAGCAGGTAACCAAAACCTACCAATATTAATAATGGAATTAGGAAATACAAAATAAAAATTGCGCCCTTTAATTAAACCGTCAATTGAAGTCCATCAAATTTCAACCCCACTAGGATAATTGTCGTATCAAAGATTGTCCACTACTTCAGACACAGGTTAGTTTGGACAAAAGTGGTCATAAAAAACAAGCATTCCCAAGTGGATTTCCGTATGTTCCACCCCAACGCCTCAATTGATTGGCTAATAATAATAATAATAAGAATTCATAATTGCTAAAAACACTTTAAGGGAAAGTTCCATTTATGCCTTATTAGTTATTTAATGCCTTGTTTTTATGCCCAGTTTATAATTTGAAATATTTAAACACAAAAAGTGAAAGAAAACAAGTCTGGAATTCGGTTTTTAGCTTCGGTTTGAAGCAGAAAAGGGAACACGGCAGAAATAATTTTTTTTCCGTATTCACTCGATTATCTTATTTTAACATTAAAAATTCCCTATTGTCGTGGATAAAAAATTTTTCCCATACTTTTTTCTAGGTGACAATGGAATTTTTTGCTATTTTTTTTGTGCGTAAAGGTTATTGAAAGATTTGTTTTTGGTGAAAAATGAACTCTCCTTAACGCCAGGTAGGACAGAACGGCCTTCTTTTAAAATTAGCTCATTGGTACTAGACTCGTTGCAAAAGGGGAAACAAAGGAGAAGGAGGAGGAGGGGGGGGGGAATTTTTTGAAGCACAATCAATAAATTTGTGAGGAGGAGGGGCAGGTTAAGGGAGGGAGGGGGGAGGGGCAGTTGAATCCCAAAATACGTAATAACAAATTGAAGTCAAAAACGGAGGGATAAAATCAACACCCATTGATGCAATGCTCCTAGTTACAGGAAGCACCACAATGGGTTCCCTTATCAAAGAGAAGGCCTTGATCCTGTATGAGAAGCTACTGCGCATTCCCATGGACAAGTTCTTCAGCACCTACGAGAATAGACCAAGACACCTGAAAACGCAATCTGGTCTAATACAGAAAGCCATGGAACTGAAGAAAGCATTACAAGTCGATGACAAACCAAAAAGCCTCTCTCCCCCCATGAACCCATTAGCAGACATTGATGTAGTTGACACACTTGCTAAGAAGGAGACAACGATTTTGCAATGCATGAACCGGCCGATGTCTTTCCACACAATGAAGGCCTTAATCAGGAGAGAATTCCAGACCTCAAGGTGCAACGAAATTAAAGCTCGAACAAAGGATAAACAGTGGACAGTGGCAATCTCCGACATACCCGACCGGCCAAGAATCGAAGCCGTTGCTGCGTTTAGACTACGTACCGGACACGATTGCTTGGCAAAACACCTTCACAGATTGGGATTATACACTCAACTCACATGCCCTCTATGTAACCTACGGGAGGAAATGGAGAAGACCCACCTGATTCGGTGTCCAGCCCTAAAGACAAGTACGGAAAGCCAAAGATACTGGGAAGCAAGAAGACAGCTAATGAATTGCTATTAATTAACTGCTATAAATGTACCCCCCCCCCTTCTTGGGGGAAGGTGAAGTCAAAGATTAATGGCTAATGATAAATATCATAAAGCCTGCCATTTGAAATAAATAAATACGTAATAACAAAGGAAAAAGTTCAAAACCTCCCAGGTATGTATTTGGGATGGTGAAAGTGGTGTCCTTTTATCTGATAAAGTTTTCGTCTGTTTTCTCCAATTCATTTTAATAACTGCTAGTTTTCACTGCCCTTCTGCGTTTACAAGTAAGGAATTAGCCGACTGAGAAGGGATTGAAAAGGGAGAAGAGAGGGAGAGAGAGAGAGCACTTTTATGGGAGTATCTAGCAACTGTTGTGCTCGCTATTTTCCCTCCTTATATTTGCCAGGACAAATATCTCATCGAAAAATCACTTATTCACGAATGATTGGCAGTGCTTCGTCTCCATTAGGTGTCTGTGTTGGAATGACGCTCCTTTTTGCTGGAAATAAAGTTGAACCCAATTTGGAGGTGGTGGGAGAGAAGGTGGGGGTGGGGGGGGGGGGAAGGTGGAGGGGTATTAAACTTCTAACATAACCACTGACAATGAGATAAAAAGACTGCGATACAAATATATATATATTTTTTACAAGCATAATTTTGTCACTTGCACGTGAATGGAAATCTGGTTGTGAAGCGTCTGAATCACGTGACAGCCTAATACGAGGGCGAGTCAAAGAGTTCCCAGACAAATTCCCGGATTTATTCATTTATTTATTTAACAGGTGATTACATTCGATTTTTTACGTAGTCTAATAGTATCGCTATAGCAATTTAAGTCTTAACTGGAAAAATTGCACTCATGGTGGGTGCTACTATGTATATGCATATGTACATATATGCGGATTACGGGGTGGGCGATAGACTCCACGTGGTACACCCTGGGCAACGTATACTCTTACGGTAAACAAGTCCATTAACCGACAGTTGACTTCTGACCTCAAACTATTATGACCCCACTGTGTGTTATATTCTACCCCTTCCACAGTACTCACCTCACCTTTTTTCTCTGCCTTTTCGTCTATCTCTTTTGCATCTTTGAATCTCTCTTCCGCTCTCCCTCTCGAATTTTTCTTACTTTGATGTTCCTCCCCTCTGTGAGGTCCGAAGTCAACTATCAAAATGTCTGCCATTTGATATAAATAAATATATATGCGGATTACTACCTATGCATGTCAGTTGGTACGGAAACATAATCTGATTGGTGATCAAAATTCAACAAAAAATATCCTATTCTGCTCAATTAGTTGTGTGAACAATAGGTTTCATGAGGACTAATGAGGTGGTAAAGTCACTTATATTCGTCCAACTTAAAACTGCCCTCCAAAATTTATCCGAATAGATAAGTGTGAAACAGCGTATCTCAAGTTATTACCTTCTGTTTCCTGTTTACCTATTTGATCTTCCAATTAAACACTGTTAATAAAGACGCTATTGCAACATCTGTTCCGTTTGAAGGAATTAACGCCCATTATGGGTGGTTTCTAAAAAGGGGTGTGGGGAATATTAGGGAGGTGGGGGGGG